AGTATCAACCATACAAGTAAGTAACACATATACTTCTAGTACCAACCAGACGGGTAAGTAACGCACTTATTCTTAGTACCTGCCATGCGGATAAATATCACATTTTTTCTTAGTTCCAACTATACGAGTATGTAACGCACATATTCATAATAGAAACCGTACGGGAAAGTAACGCACTTACTCTTAGTACCATCCATACGAGTAGCTAATGCAATTAATTCTAGTACCAACCATACGGATGATAACACATTTGCTCTTAGAACCCACCGTACGGGTCTGTAACGTACTTACTCTTATTATCATCCATACGAGTAAGTACTGCAACTACTCTTAGAACCAAACACACGGGTGCGTAACGCACTTACTATTAGCACTAACCATTCTGGTTAACGCACTTATTCTCTTATTGCCAGCCATGCACGTAAGTAACGCACTTACTCCTAGTACCAACCACAGAAATAAGTAAAACACTTACTCCTACTTCCAAGCATACAAGTAGGTAATGCATTTTTTCTTTGTTCCATCTATACGCGTTTGTTTTGCTTAGTGCCCACCACACGGGTAAGTATCTCACTTACCCTCAGTCCCCCATAGGGGATCAACATGTCAGAGTATATGCATGTTATATGTATGTAGGCTGTAGTGGGGTAGCCAATATGGGGTACAGCTCTGTTTAGGGTTTCATAATTGTACCCAACTCTTCCATAGTGCATCCATTCCTGCTGCTAGACTCTAACATGGTTTCAAAGCACTAGGTCCGTAGGACCGTCCTTTTTTTTCGGGCCCACCTACCGTTGCGGTTACTGTTGGGTGCAAATTCACATTGCACGACATCCTGCCGTCTGTTTGTACGAGTATGCGTGTACGAATGCATTTGGGTGTGAATGGAATGCTCGTGTGTTTGTTTGCTTTCGCAATTTTCGCTTGAAGCATTTGCAGGTACTCGCGCATTGTGCGCTTCGGCACAACATTGTACGCGCTATGAACAGTACAAGCAGAAAGGACGAGCTCGCAAAGGAACCCAAGATGGAAGCTTTGCGGTTCGGTTGAATTGATTGCGCAGATTCAGTTCTATCCACCTCGAAATTGTACTGTTTTGTTTGGTTGACTATAGTGTAGCAGGGCAGGCACTATAGGGGTACAATTTAGGTGAAGGTTGGATGTTGTTTGTCTGTATCTGCATGCTACAGGGCCAGGGGAAACCAGCGGAACCAGCATTTGGCTGGTTGGGCAAAGACAAAACAGGTTCTGTTTTTAGGACCTGAACCTAGTTGTTGTTTTCCCAGGTTGGAAAAACAGAACCAGAGGTTGTTTACCAACCTACCACCTGCTGTTTTGTCCAGCCAGGTTGGTTCTGTTGCTTGGAATTATTTGGGATCATCCCTGGTTGTTCCCAGGTTTATTCCCAAGGTCCTTGCTAGCTAGAACTATTTTATTCCTTCTCTGTTTGTACCTGGATATAGTCAATTTGATTCAAGCGAATTCCACCCTTCCTGGAATTTCGTTTCTACGCGGTGCGACGGCGGAATGCTACCCGAGTCAACGCTAGTACGCTAGCACTTCAACACTAGGCAAACGCTGTCCGAGCCATAACTTCGTAATGGCAAAACTTTTCGCGAGGCAAGTTGGTTCATTTTAAAGCTCTTGGAGCGAGCTTCGATATAGGAAATTCTCAGCTTAATCCGATCGACGGTCTGCACGATACGCTGCGCGACGTTCAAGGTACTCTTGCTGTTTTGACTAAGTCCCTCTTGATCCCTCTCTCTACAAACTCGGACCCGAGGATAGGGGCTGGTCTTGTACCAGGCACCCAAGGACCCTTGGAGGTGACCCCGAGGAGAGGTTTTAAGTTTGATAAAGTCTTAATAGCTTGAGTTTATTAGGCCCTTACACCAACAAGCTGGTATCAGAGCTGCGTTATAGTGATCCTCGTTATAGGTAGCTATGGCGGGCAACACCTCGACGGGAGCTGGTGAATCTTCAGCCCAAGATCGTAGCGGCAGCCAAGATTCTGGTGTTTCAGCGCCAAGGGGAGCGCGAACAAACCAGGGCTCGCTGGTCAAGGGGGTGCTGAAGAACTTCACCGTCGAGAAGTTCAATGGTGAGGGCTATGATGATTGGGCCTGGAAAATGCAATTGTATTTCCGTCAGATCGGTTTGCTGAAACTAATGATTAGGGAGGAGCCTAGACCGAGTGACCCCGCGCTGCAGGAAGATTGGGATGAGCGCTCCTCGGCTGGCTACTATTTGATGTCGCAGAGTTTGGAGCTGAACCAGCGTCACCACGTCATGCATCTGCTGCCGGAGGTTGAGTGCGGTCCGATGCGTGGACCGTGTTGAAGGAGCTGCACGCCCCGACCTCCGTTGTTGCAACGTTGATGCTGGAGAGGGAGCTGTCCGCGTTGCGCCTGAGCGAGGGAGAGCCGGTGCAACCTGTCCTGGACAAGATGCGCGACCTCTGCGCGAAATTGGCGACCGCGGGAATCACCTACCCGGAGCAGACCAAGTGTTTGAAGATGCTCTCGCTGCTGCCGGAATCGTGGCTTCAATTCACGAGCGGATTGAGCCTGCCGCAGAACCAGAGCTCGTGGACACTCGAGTGGGTGCGGACAAAGATTCTGGAGGAGGACTTCCGTCGCCGCCAACTGAGGGGTGGAGACGACGGCAGCAGCGGCTACGGGATGCAAGGGAGCCGACGTGGCAGAGGACGTGGCTTCGGTGGTGCTGGACGCGGTGCAAAGAAGGACGACGACTCCAACGACCAACAAGGAGGTACCGGTTGGGGTCGCGGTGCGAAATCTGGACGTGGGGGCAAGTCGGGTGCTGGTGGCAAAATGAAAGGGAGTTGCTGGTATTGTGAGAAGGAGGGGCACCCCTGGTTTTTGTGCTATAAGAAACCCGATGGATGGACCCCCCAGAATCGTCACCAGGATGGCGGCGCGCGAAGGAACCAGAAAAACGGCGCGAGCATGGTCGCCGATTCGTCCGACAACAACCCGAAGAGCAACGGCGGTGCGGAAAAGAAGAAGGAGCGCGTAGACCACCAGGAAACTGAACCAGAACCAAGGCTGAAGGTGCAACCCTGTGACGACCGCTGCGTAGCTAGGTCGTCAACCCAAGAAACGTCCGAGTGCCCAGTGAGGACAACTGGGCTCCGCCCTCCAAGCACGAGCCCCATGCCCGATGTACTGCACAAGTAGCGCAGTACCCTCTTAGCAGCATCCATCTGCACCTTTCGGTGCCTACCAGGAGCCACGTAGCGGGCCAGAAGGCCAAGAGGGTACGCAAGGTCAGGTCGAGTGCAGGTCATTAGGTACATAAGGGAACCATGGCTGCAGCGAAGAGGGTGTTGCGCTACTTGTGCAGTACGTCGGGCATGGGGCTAGTGCTTGGAGGGCGGAGTCCAGTGGTCCTCACTGGGCACGCGGACGCTTCTTGGGCTGACGACCAGGCTACGCAGCGGTCGTCACAGGGTTACACCTTCAGCCTTGGTTCCGGCTCTGTTTCGTGGCGGGCTACTCGCTCGTCTTCTGTTCTTGGCTCGAGTTGTGAGGCTGAGATCTACGCCGGGGCCATGGCTGCACAGGAGCTTCGCTGGCTCACCTACCTGCTGACCGACCTTGGAGAGCCGCCTCGTTCTCCTCCAGTCCTATACGTAGACAACAAGGCCATGCTGGCCTTGTGTCGAGAGCAGCGACTGGAGCACAGAACAAAGCACATTGCTCTCCGCTACTTCCTTGCTCGTGAGCTACAGCAACGTGGACAGTTGCGGCTTGCGTACGTGGCCTCTGAGGCCAACACTGCTGATGTCTTCACCAAGGCACTTCCGCCTTGTGATCATCAGCGCTTCTGCACTCAGCTGGGTCTTGTGCCCGTCTTGCCTCACTTGCTCTCCTCTTGACCTTGCTTGTACTCTCACATATATATATACCTGCTCTTGCTTGTCTAGCTTTATATATATGTGTGTACTCTTGCATGTGAACTGGCCGTGTGGCCTTGACCCTGTGCTCGGACTGTGTGGTGACTTTGTGATCCACCCTGAGCTTTCCTTTGCTTTGCTTTGCTTGACTGGTCTTGTGACCCCTTGTTCTCCCCCACTTTGCCTATGGGGGTGTGTCAGAACATTGTAGCTTATGCTGTTATGTAGGCTATAGTGGGGTATCCCATAGGGGGTACAACCAATTAGGGTTTCATATTTGTACTCACTTCATTTCATAGTTCACCCATTCTCGTTCTCATTCTCACACTATGCATAATGATTTATGACATTATATTTAATATTATGCACCTACAGCATTATTTATGCATCATGCATCTATTTATCATTACAACAACACCATTTAATAGTACCGTACAACATACCAATACATACACTACAGCATATTTGCACAAAACCACTAACAAAGAAAGATCATACAGTTTATTATACTGTAAACAGTATTCAAAACTATTCAACATGCACACGGTATGGGAAGGGTAGAGTAGTTTACAAAAATTATTTTCTTGAATTTCAAAGTATTAAATACATGAAATATAATTTTGCACAATCGATCGTAATGGGTTGCTTCGCATCCTAACAAATGACGCTGACATATGGATAAGATGAAAAGTACGAAACACATTCTTCATTGTCAGAATGCAAATTAAGGAGTGCATTTGTACGTATTTTGTCTGAAGTTGTCATATTAACAAATTTATTTCGTAATGGACAATTCATAGAATAACGTTGGCCTTTTTTTAGAAACTTTTGACGCTGCTGTTATCCTGATTAACCTTTGGCGCGTTGACGGCCAACTGGATGTGGTGGGGTGGGGACCACTGGCAATGGAGGAACACCTTTGTGGGAGGTCACTCACTGACAACAGCGCCGTCACGAGGATGGATCATTTTGTTGGCAGCATCCTCGCCCTCGGGTTGAGGCGAGGATATTCCATGATTGTACTCAATCAGAAGTTGGTGCTTCCAGTGCTAATGCTCGGCACGTTTCAGTAGTTCTGAGAATGCCGAACCAGCCGCTTCATGCTTGTGCTGCTTGCAAGTCGCTAAGGAAGAAGTGCACCCCCCAGTGCGTGTTTTCTCCGTACTTCCCACCGAACGAGACAGAAAAGTGGACAACAGTTCATCGTACATTCGGTGCGAGCAACATTTCGAAGATATTAACGACAGTACCGCCAGGGAAGAGAACGGCTGCAGCAAACAGGTATTCTTCTTGCATTATCTCGTTAAGTCTCCTACCTCGCGTCGGTCTGACGTTAGCCACTTTCTGTTTCGCAGTCTTATATTTGAAGCGGAAGCACGGTTGGCTGATCCCGTCTACGGGACTTTGCAAGTCATTCATCGGTTGGGAAGCAGGCTGTCTAGCATGGTTAAGGAGCTTCAAGCTGTCAGAGCCGAAAACGAAGAACTGCGTCAGAATTATGGTCAAGTCTGCGCGCTGATGGGCATTCCAGCCAACTATCCTTATGCGTCGGAAGTTGAGCAGGCCGTTCAGGAAATGGCGTCTTCCTCCTCTCCTCCTTCAGCAGTAATAGAGGACGCTGCCGCTTTACTCAAGCATGAAGCCGCTTGACGTCATGGAGAGGAAAGTAAGTTATACTTGAGAGCACCGTCTGAGGAAATAAGCTGCTTGTAAATATCTAACACATGCAGTATCCCGCAGTTATTATGACTCTTATTACTAAGTACTACGGACTTTTTTTCAAGACAGAGTGTTACCGGTACAACAAGCAAGCAGAAATGGCATGGGGGAGGAGAGAGAGAATCCGTGTGGGTGGAACGGAGATATGGAGTGTAAAGTAAAACCGTAGTGTTGAAAGACAAGGGAGGTGCGAGATGTGTTTGTTTCATGGTACCGTAAGATTTTGGAGGACTGCTAACACAAGTTTGAAATTAGTTGGTCACTGGAGAGAAAGTTATTGTAGTATTTCATTACCGTATTTTACAGCGTATGTGAACTTTCCCAGAAGTGTTTGCTTTGCAATGTATCTCGCAATGGTCAAGTACCACAATTGGGCGTTGTTCTGCAGGCGTTATTGGCGCCGCACCAATTTGACCGCTGTGGCCTTCCGTGTAATTTCTAGGCGCATTCACGCTGGTTGCGTTGCACGGAAATTGCTGCCCCGCATAACTTACTGCGGAGGCTGATGCTAGCTCCCGAGGTAGAATCAGCACCGCACAAGTTGTGCGACCATTTGCCCGGCGGAGCAACAACTTCGAACCTGCAGACGGTTAAATTTATGCGCCCCAAAAGTGTTCTGCAGGCGACAGCGTTAAATTTGGCGCGAACAGGTTCGGCAGGACCTCTCTTATCACCAAATCTTGATAGGCAGAATACCACCTATCAACGAAGATTCTGCGGACCCGACTTCTGGAAATTTAACGCCTACAGAACAGCGCCTCGGTTCACTCAAATTGCAAGTGACAACACTGAACAAACTGGCAAAGCACGCTGACCAGTCCTTGAATAAGGGCGTGGAACGCAACGCACTCAACTCGCACCCAAATCAACCTCAACTCGCAGCCAACGAAAGTAACCCGTTGGCCATATTCCGCATCTTCCGCGAACACCGCACGTCCTGTACCTTTGCACCATACGTGAGTCGGTCGTCGGCAATTCTTCAGGTCATTGTTCGCGAAACATGCGGATCGCCCTTTAGCAGACCACCCGCAACCAAACTTGTGGCATATGTTCCACGCCGGGCGAAGCATGTGCGCGGAACGGACAGACTGGCGCAGAGTGCGCTTAGGCGCCGCCAGGTGGATGAGGAGGAACCGCATGTGAAGGACCAGTCGCTCTTACACTCCTCGCTTCGCGCTTACGTGGGTGCGCTGGGCGATCGCCCAGTCGCCCTCAGATCCAACCCGCCATGCTTCGCGTGCGAACCTCCTCGTCGCCCTCCGACTCACAGTCGTCGCAACAATCGTGGCGCGGATGGCCCGCAGCCGCCTCGTCCGTGGCGCGCCGCCATGCCACGTCGCTCCGCCGCACGCTGAGCGTCGCGGCGCTGCCTCTGCTGCTCCTGGCGTACGTCGCGGTTCGGCTGACAATCGCGCCGCATTATCGAAGCGCGCTGACTGAGCCCGGCGCGACGACGAGGAAGCCGCGGCGCGTGGAGCCGCTGCGAGTGTTCATCGTGCCGCTCGACCCGGCCATGAGCTTCGGGCTGCTCAATGTGCGTCTTCGGGCTGACCCCACTCTCCTGCACCCATGCCATCCCCGTCTTTCGTTTGTTCCGCTCACGGTTTGGGAAGGAATGCGATGTGAGTGTGCGCGAACTTGAGCCCCCATTCCGCCCCCTTGCACCCACCCACACGAGTGCCATGCCCCGCCCAACCCCCTCACAGCGCATCGCGTCTCTCACGTGGCGAGCGCGCGAGACCTGGTGGCAGCGGGTAGGGGCTGTGGACGCGCCGTGGTTGTGCGAGCGCCCACCGCCGCCAGTGGTTGGACTGGAGTGTCTAGTCATACACACCCGTGCTCACCCTCACTAACCGCCCCCACCACCCCTCGCTGCCCGTGCGCCCCCCCTGCGCGCAGTCGTCATCACAGCTGACCTTGAGCATCCCCGCGCGCCTGGTGCCCACGTGGAACCGAGTCACCGGCAGCAACGTCCCCCTCCCGCTCTCCCTCGCGCTCCCGCCGCCTGCTCTTGCTCTCTCCACAGCCGCCCCCCCATCCCCCTCTGCTGCTGCGCTGGCGCAAGGCGAGGCGGGGGACGCACAGGGGGACGACCTGGGCGCGGGAGAGGAGGGGAGCGGAGAGGAAAAGGAGGAGGAGAGGGTGAGCGTGCAGGTGGCAACATACGACGCAGAGCCGCATGTGCTCGCATACAGTGCCGAGTACTGGCTCACTCTCTCACTCTTCACAGGTGCACCCCTCGCCCCTCCTCCTCCTCCCTTGCAAGCGTCCTCTCGAGCACACGGGGTATGCCCCTCCACGTGTCTCTTCTGTCCCCCTCGTGCTGCCCCCCTCCTCCCCTCCATCACCGGCACGGCCCATTCCTCTCGCGCCCTCCTCTGCTCCCTGCTCACTGCGCCCCCCGTGCCTGCTGTGTGCTGCACCATCGCCCTGCTACCCCATGCGCGTGTGGCAGGGCTGGCGGCAGTGCGGGTGGTGGAGCACCCGTCACAGGCGGACGCGCTCTTCCTGCCGCTCTTCTCCTCGCTGCTGCTCCTCCGTAGGTTCGTCAACGCCGCTTGGAAGGGGGGCGTGGGGGGGTTGTGAGGGGCATGCATGTGGGTGGGTGGGACAGGGGGGTGTCAGATGCGTGTGTGTGAGTGTGGGTGGGACTGCATCCGCTGCTGCATTACGCTTATGCCATGGCCATGCACTCGCTGCTGCCCGACGCCCATCCCAGCCCTCTCTGCCATTCTCGCTCGCACGCTCTCCCTTTGTGTTGCCCCCTCTCCCTCTCAGCCCTCCACGCACCACCTCATTCTCATCCCCGTCTGTTCCCCCTCCTCCCCCATTTCCCCCCCTTCCTCTCCTCCCCATCCCCTTCTCCTCTTCCCCTTCCACCTTTCCCCCTTTTCCTTCTTTCCCCTTTCCCCTTGTCCTGCATTGCCCTGCTTGCGGCTGCCCTGGGTGGAGGGCGTCGTGCCATGCCGTGCGTGCGTGCGCCCCATGCACGTGGCACGTGCGCCCTCCACCACCGCCCCCCTGCAGTGCCCCCCCCAATGCGTCGGCCGCTGTCTCCCTACGCACGCCCCCCGCGCTGCTCGACTCCGTGCTCTCCTATGTGGCGTCGCTGCTGCAGCAGCACCAGCCTGCACGTGCGCCCCTGCCACTGCTGCTGCCTGCCGTGCACGCGCATGCGCTCGCCCCCGCCAAGCTGCAGCTCGCCTCCGCTCGCTTCTTCCTCGCCGATTTCCGCCACTCCAGCCCCCAGGTGACCCGCTCACGCAGGGCAGGGGACAGACGGAAGGGGATTGAGGGTTGAGGCCGGGAGTGTCGGGAGTCAGGGAAAGAGGAGACTTGTGACATGCGTATGGAAAAAGCTAGGAACAACAGTAGCAGCGGCGGGTACTGGAGTTGAGGGTGACTGCACAGCACGGCAGGGCAGCACGCTGTGATTGCCTCTACTCCACTCTAAGGCTCCGTGTGTTCCCGGACCCGCTCGTCATGCTCTCGCCCCTTCCTGCCTCCCGTCCCTCCCTCCCCTTCTCCCCCATCACCGATGCCCCATGGCCCTATGCACGTGGGCGGGGCGAGCAGGCAGTGAGTGTGGGCAAGGACGTGCTGGTGCCGCTGGCGTCCCCGGGGCCGCCTGTGCTGGACGACACTGGCGAGTGGGCCCACCGCCCCACCCTCGCCTTCTTCCACGGGCCCCCCCAGGTGAGCAGCGTACGACAGCTTAAACAATAGAGAGGTGAAGGGAAGGGGGATGGCAAAGGTGAACAGGGAGATCTATGAGGAAGACAGAGCGAGTGCTCGCTTGCTCCTGCTCTCCGCAGGCTGTGCGTCTAGGCTCGTGCGTTGGGAGGCCCATTGGAAGTAGGCACACAGATGCTGGTTGCGCAGGCCACTGGGGTGCCATGGGTTCACTGGGGGGCACGTGTGTGCCTCCCTGCTCTACCCCATGCCACTGCAACACAATCCACCTCTTGCATGCCCTCTCCCCTTCCCCCCCTCTCCCCCCCTCGCCCTCACGCCTGCCCATGCTGTGCATGTGTGTGTGTGCAGACACAGGAGCGGGTGCGGTTGGCGGCGGTGCTGGCGGGCAGCATGGACTTTGAGGTGACGGTGTGGGGCGACGTGCACAGCAACGAGCAGCACGAGCACGAGAGGGCCAGGGAGCTGCACGGCATGCGCACCGCCAAGTTCTGCCTCCTGCTGCCGGGTCAGCACCGCCCTCATGCCCTCTCCTTGCCTGTGCAACTCACACCACTGCTCTCCCTCCCATCCCTCCCATCCCTCCCATCCCTCCCATCCCTCCCATCCCTCCCATCCCTCCCATCCCTCCCATCCATCCCATCCCTCCCATCCCTCCCATCCCTCCCATCCCTCCCATCCCTCCCATCCCTCCCATCCCTCCCATCCCTCCCATCCCTCCCATCCCTCCCATCCCTCCCATCCCTCCCATATCTGCCATCCGCCTGCATTGCCTGCACTCCCCTGTCCCCTGCCCCTCTCAGCTCACGTGCGCTTCCCCCATGCGGTGCTGCATGCATGCCTGTGTGCCATGCCTGTGCCCGTGTGAGCACGAGCAGGTGAGCTGCCGTGGTCAGCGGGGGTGGGTGACGCCGTGATGAGTGGGTGTGTGCCGGTGCTGCTGCTGCCCGCCACACAGCCCGCCCCCCCCTTGCCTCTGGAGGCCTCTGTGCCGTACGAGGAGTTCACGCTGGTGCTGCCGCTGCCGCTCGCCCTGCGCCCGCGCTACCTGCTGGAGGCACTGGGCGTGATCAAGCGCCACCATTGGCTGCGCATGTGGCAGCGCCTGCGCGAGGTGCGGTGGGGGAGGTGGGGTGGGCGTGGCAGAGGGGGAATAGGGGTTGAGAAAGGGGCGTGGGGAGGGAGAATAGGGGTTGAGAAAGGGGCGTGGGGATGGAGAATGGGGGTTGAGAAAGGGGCGTGGGGAGGGAGAATAGGGGTTGAGAAAGGGGCGTGGGGAGGGAGAATAGGGGTTGAGAAAGGGGCGTGGGGAGGGAGAATAGGGGTTGAGAAAGGGGCGTGGGGAGGGAGAATGGGGGTTGAGAAAGGGGCGTGGGGAGGGAGAATAGGGGTTGAGAAAGGGGCGTGGGGAGGGAGAATAGGGGTTGAGAAAGGGGCGTGGGGAGGGAGAATGGGGGTTGAGAAAGGGGCGTGGGGAGGGAGAATAGGGGTTGAGAAAGGGGCGTGGGGAGGGAGAATAGGGGTTGAGAAAGGGGCGTGGGGAGGGAGAATGGGGGTTGAGAAAGGGGCGTGGGGAGGGAGAATGGGGGTTGAGAAAGGGGCGTGGGGAGGGAGAATGGGGGTTGAGAAAGGGGCGTGGGGAGGGAGAATAGGGGTTGAGAAAGGGGCGTGGGGAGGGAGAATGGGGGTTGAGAAAGGGGCGTGGGGAGGGAGAATAGGGGTTGAGAAAGGGGCGTGGGGAGGGAGAATAGGGGTTGAGAAAGGGGCGTGGGGAGGGAGAATAGGGTTTGAGAAAGGGGCGTGGGGAGGGAGAATGGGGGTTGAGAAAGGGGCGTGGGGAGGGAGAATAGGGGTTGAGAAAGGGGCGTGGGGAGGGAGAATAGGGGTTGAGAAAGGGGCGTGGGGAGGGAGAATAGGGTTTGAGAAAGGGGCGTGGGGAGGGAGAATAGGGGTTGAGAAAGGGGCGTGGGGAGGGAGAATAGGGGTTGAGAAAGGGGCGTGGGGAGGGAGAATGGGGGTTGAGAAAGGGGCGTGGGGAGGGAGAATAGGGGTTGAGAAAGGGGCGTGGGGAGGGAGAATGGGGGTTGAGAAAGGGGCGTGGGGAGGGAGAATGGGGGTTGAGAAAGGGGCGTGGGGAGGGAGAATAGGGGTTGAGAAAGGGGCGTGGGGAGGGAGAATAGGGGTTGAGAAAGGGGCGTGGGGAGGGAGAATAGGGGTTGAGAAAGGGGCGTGGGGAGGGAGAATAGGGGTTGAGAAAGGGGCGTGGGGAGGGAGAATAGGGGTTGAGAAAGGGGCGTGGGGAGGGAGAATGGGGGTTGAGAAAGGGGCGTGGGGAGGGAGAATAGGGGTTGAGAAAGGGGCGTGGGGAGGGAGAATGGGGGTTGAGAAAGGGGCGTGGGGAGGGAGAATAGGGGTTGAGAAAGGGGCGTGGGGAGGGAGAATAGGGGTTGAGAAAGGGGCGTGGGGAGGGAGAATAGGGGTTGAGAAAGGGGCGTGGGGAGGGAGAATGGGGGTTGAGAAAGGGGCGTGGGGAGGGAGAATGGGGGTTGAGAAAGGGGCGTGGGGAGGGAGAATAGGGGTTGAGAAAGGGGCGTGGGGAGGGAGAATAGGGGTTGAGAAAGGGGCGTGGGGAGGGAGAATAGGGGTTGAGAAAGGGGCGTGGGGAGGGAGAATAGGGGTTGAGAAAGGGGCGTGGGGAGGGAGAATAGGGGTTGAGAAAGGGGCGTGGGGAGGGAGAATGGGGGTTGAGAAAGGGGCGTGGGGAGGGAGAATAGGGGTTGAGAAAGGGGCGTGGGGAGGGAGAATGGGGGTTGAGAAAGGGGCGTGGGGAGGGAGAATAGGGGTTGAGAAAGGGGCGTGGGGAGGGAGAATAGGGGTTGAGAAAGGGGCGTGGGGAGGGAGAATAGGGGTTGAGAAAGGGGCGTGGGGAGGGAGAATAGGGGTTGAGAAAGGGGCGTGGGGAGGGAGAATAGGGGTTGAGAAAGGGGCGTGGGGAGGGAGAATGGGGGTTGAGAAAGGGGCGTGGGGAGGGAGAATAGGGGTTGAGAAAGGGGCGTGGGGAGGGAGAATGGGGGTTGAGAAAGGGGCGTGGGGAGGGAGAATAGGGGTTGAGAAAGGGGCGTGGGGAGGGAGAATAGGGGTTGAGAAAGGGGCGTGGGGAGGGAGAATAGGGGTTGAGAAAGGGGCGTGGGGAGGGAGAATGGGGGTTGAGAAAGGGGCGTGGGGAGGGAGAATAGGGGTTGAGAAAGGGGCGTGGGGAGGGAGAATAGGGGTTGAGAAAGGGGCGTGGGGAGGGAGAATGGGGGTTGAGAAAGGGGCGTGGGGAGGGAGAATGGGGGTTGAGAAAGGGGCGTGGGGAGGGAGAATAGGGGTTGAGAAAGGGGCGTGGGGAGGGAGAATAGGGGTTGAGAAAGGGGCGTGGGGAGGGAGAATAGGGGTTGAGAAAGGGGCGTGGGGAGGGAGAATGGGGGTTGAGAAAGGGGCGTGGGGAGGGAGAATAGGGGTTGAGAAAGGGGCGTGGGGAGGGAGAATGGGGGTTGAGAAAGGGGCGTGGGGAGGGAGAATAGGGGTTGAGAAAGGGGCGTGGGGAGGGAGAATAGGGGTTGAGAAAGGGGCGTGGGGAGGGAGAATAGGGGTTGAGAAAGGGGCGTGGGGAGGGAGAATAGGGGTTGAGAAAGGGGCGTGGGGAGGGAGAATAGGGGTTGAGAAAGGGGCGTGGGGAGGGAGAATAGGGGTTGAGAAAGGGGCGTGGGGAGGGAGAATAGGGGTTGAGAAAGGGGCGTGGGGAGGGAGAATAGGGGTTGCGAAAGGGGCGTGGGGAGGGAGAATGGGGGTTGAGAAAGGGGCGTGGGGAGGGAGAATGGGGGTTGAGAAAGGGGCGTGGGGAGGGAGAATAGGGGTTGAGAAAGGGGCGTGGGGAGGGAGAATAGGGGTTGAGAAAGGGGCGTGGGGAGGGAGAATAGGGGTTGAGAAAGGGGCGTGGGGAGGGAGAATGGGGGTTGAGAAAGGGGCGTGGGGAGGGAGAATAGGGGTTGAGAAAGGGGCGTGGGGAGGGAGAATAGGGGTTGAGAAAGGGGCGTGGGGAGGGAGAATGGGGGTTGAGAAAGGGGCGTGGGGAGGGAGAATAGGGGTTGAGAAAGGGGCGTGGGGAGGGAGAATAGGGTTTGAGAAAGGGGCGTGGGGAGGGAGAATAGGGGTTGAGAAAGGGGCGTGGGGAGGGAGAATAGGGGTTGAGAAAGGGGCGTGGGGAGGGAGAATAGGGGTTGAGAAAGGGGCGTGGGGAGGGAGAATAGGGGTTGAGAAAGGGGCGTGGGGAGGGAGAATGGGGGTTGAGAAAGGGGCGTGGGGAGGGAGAATGGGGGTTGAGAAAGGGGCGTGGGGAGGGAGAATAGGGGTTGAGAAAGGGGCGTGGGGAGGGAGAATAGGGGTTGAGAAAGGGGCGTGGGGAGGGAGAATGGGGGTTGAGAAAGGGGCGTGGGGAGGGAGAATGGGGGTTGAGAAAGGGGCGTGGGGAGGGAGAATAGGGGTTGAGAAAGGGGCGTGGGGAGGGAGAATGGGGGTTGAGAAAGGGGCGTGGGGAGGGAGAATAGGGTTTGAGAAAGGGGCGTGGGGAGGGAGAATAGGGGTTGAGAAAGGGGCGTGGGGAGGGAGAATAGGGGTTGAGAAAGGGGCGTGGGGAGGGAGAATGGGGGTTGAGAAAGGGGCGTGGGGAGGGAGAATAGGGGTTGAGAAAGGGGCGTGGGGAGGGAGAATGGGGGTTGAGAAAGGGGCGTGGGGAGGGAGAATGGGGGTTGAGAAAGGGGCGTGGGGAGGGAGAATAGGGGTTGAGAAAGGGGCGTGGGGAGGGAGAATAGGGGTTGAGAAAGGGGCGTGGGGAGGGAGAATAGGGGTTGAGAAAGGGGCGTGGGGAGGGAGAATAGGGGTTGAGAAAGGGGCGTGGGGAGGGAGAATAGGGGTTGAGAAAGGGGCGTGGGGAGGGAGAATGGGGGTTGAGAAAGGGGCGTGGGGAGGGAGAATAGGGGTTGAGAAAGGGGCGTGGGGAGGGAGAATGGGGGTTGAGAAAGGGGCGTGGGGAGGGAGAATAGGGGTTGAGAAAGGGGCGTGGGGAGGGAGAATAGGGGTTGAGAAAGGGGCGTGGGGAGGGAGAATAGGGGTTGAGAAAGGGGCGTGGGGAGGGAGAATGGGGGTTGAGAAAGGGGCGTGGGGAGGGAGAATAGGGGTTGAGAAAGGGGCGTGGGGAGGGAGAATAGGGGTTGAGAAAGGGGCGTGGGGAGGGAGAATAGGGGTTGAGAAAGGGGCGTGGGGAGGGAGAATAGGGGTTGCGAAAGGGGCGTGGGGAGGGAGAATGGGGGTTGAGAAAGGGGCGTGGGGAGGGAGAATGGGGGTTGAGAAAGGGGCGTGGGGAGGGAGAATAGGGGTTGAGAAAGGGGCGTGGGGAGGGAGAATAGGGGTTGAGAAAGGGGCGTGGGGAGGAGAATAGGGGTCGAGAAAGGGGCGTGGGGAGGGAGAGTTGTGGAAGGCGTTGGAGAGGTAGGGGGTAAGGTCGAGTTGAGGGAGGGGGAAGAGTGTGGGGCGAAGGGGGGTAGGGGGGGGATGTCGGACGCTGAAGAAGAGAGGTGAGTGATGAATGCTGGTAGGTGCTCCGTGGCAGGCCTCTGCTTGGCCACTATTGAGGCGCCTCGGAGTGACGCATTAGAAATTCTCTGCATTTCTCTCCTCCTTGTGCTGCTGGAGGCTCACCCTTGATGCCAGTGATAGCAGTGATGCCAGTGATGGCAGCCGAGCAGCCACCATTTTCCCCTGTGTGCACGTGTTTGACCTGTGTCATGTGCGCCATCACCGTGGGGATATACTGGGCAGTACCGTGAGAGTGTGATGTATGGCCATGCAGGCAAGCAGGGCATCAACGGTGCAGAGGAGCTGCTGTGGGAGGACATGGCGTTCCGGGTGAGGCATGGTCAGGAGGCGAGGGAGGGTGAGGAGAGGAGGAGGAAGAGACAGGAGGAGGTGAGTGCGCTGCTGGTGGCGGCGCGGAAGGCACCTCTGCCGGACACGGGGGAGCAGCTGTCACCTGCGGATTATAGCTGATGCCTGCAGTCAGGCCCCCAGAAGTCAGAGAAATTTCTCTGATTTGCATGAGAAACTCTGAGAATTCAGTTTTTTTTTTTTTTTTTTTTTTTTTTTTTTTTTTTTTTTTTTTTTAGTGAGGTTTGTTAAAATCAGAGATTTTTGGGCCCCAACTCTGTTATTTTCAGAGAGATTTTAGAGCTAACTCTGACGTTTCAGAGTTTTCCGGGAGTGTACTCTGATCTCTTAGAGTACAAACGCGTACCGATTCCGTTTTCTGCTTGTGTTCTTGACTGGTTATTCGGTTCGGACTTAACAGGTCAATGCAAAATCGGCTTGAAACTGCAAAACCATGCCTTACAGCACAAGATTTTCACCCAATCACAGCAAAATCGCCCTGACACATCGGATTTGCGCTGTCAGAGCACAATGATTTCGACCAATCACCAAGAAATTCCACCTGACATTACAGATTCGCCCTTTCACGCCACAAGATTCGCCCTGACACAGAAATTTGCCCTGTCAGAGCCAGGGCTGTCGATATCCCTGGGGGCAGAACTTGAGGCCCCCAGCTGCTGAAATTCTGACCCTGATTTTCAGGGAGGTGACCAAATTTTCGCCAGGGGGATGTGAAGGCGACGGGAGGGGGAAGTGAAGGCGACCGGAGGAGGGAGTGAAGGCGACGGGAGGGGGACGGGACGAGCAAACGCTACTCGCGGGGTACAGTCGATGCTCAGCCTATCACAAAACATTTGCTCCTCACAATGAGAAATTTAGTCACTCGCGAACGTTTTGCCCGTGAGTGACTAAATTGACCATTGTGCCGATTTCGGGGTACAGTCACCAAGTTGAGGAAGAAAAACATCTACAGTCCATAAACAACAACGGTTGCCCGTCATCAGTTAAGTTAACCTGGTTACGAAATTAAAGCCCTTGACTCGATTCACGTTGCAATTTCATATTACTGTCACTTTTTTGCCCGTGGCGACAAGGGCGAATGTGGCGAAAAGCCTCAAACACGTTTCACGCACATGTCGCCCGCCTACCTGGTGTTCTTGAAATGGGCACCGACTGTAATCGAAAGGATTCGCAGCTTGCCAGGTGACACACGTACAGGCGTTTCCGACTCGTGCAATGTGTCGCTTCTAATTCGGAGCCATAGGAAATGATGCAATCGCGCAGCTTTGTGAACGCTATCACTATCCCCCGCCGCCTGCTTTGACGGATGGGGCTCTGCCCTTGCGCTGGGCTCAATTTCCTAGCTACTTGTAGTCGGCGCAGTTTCCTTGCCTACAAAGCAGTGGCGTGGTGTTGGGAAATGGGGTTGTGAGTCAGGTTGCTGTGAGGTGTCGCTCTAGGCTATGTGCGACTGATGTTTGCGTGAAGTACATGTCGCAGGTAAACACTGGTAACATTGGCGAACCTGCGCAAGTTCACGAACATTCTCCAACAATCTCGACACCCCCAACGTTCGCGGGCCAATCGCGTTTTCACTCCCAAACAACCTTCCTAAGGTTGAACTTCTTGGCCTGCGAGTTTTAACGGTCACAGGTGCAGGCCGAAGTGTAAACTTGAAATCCGGGCTCCAATGTGTTGTGTACTTAACTAACCTGAACAGCATCATAGACAAGAAAATCACATACTTTTCACTACTAACTACTCCAGTCAACCTGTATGTCACAACTTCCAACTACAACTACAGCTGCACTACCTACTGCATTTCTACTCATCTCCTGACTTCGACACCACACACACACTAGATTGGATAATAGTGTGGGCCCAAACGGGTTTGATCGCCTCGATCAGCCGCGATCAATACTTTCCAGGAAGCGTGGAGGCCAAATTCAAGCAATCAGGGGCAATCAGCTGATCGCGATCAGCTGATCGCCCCAACTCGATCTGACCCGATTTACCCCCCCGATCATAGACGATTCTCTTCGATCACCCACGACCAATTGATCGTGGGTGATCGGGGACCACATCGATACTGACGAAAAGTTACACTTTATTACAGGGATTCGTCAACCCCTCACGAAGATGTCCAGCCTGTACAGAACACCTTGGAATGGCACCCATTTCGCCATCCAATCATTCTCCTCGCTCCCAAGGAACATACAGCCTGTGTCGAACAATCTGGTGGAATCCCACCACTTCGGCTCCAGAGGGGAGTGTTTTTCACGATATTACTTGGATACAGAGAGTTTCGCCAGAAGCCGTCTGGTCGCAAGTCTCGCTAAGATTGCCACGGAAATACCAGGTAATTAAATCCTGCTTGCTGAGCAGCCGAGAAGAATCTTTTAAGAAAAACATTACTGATCGGGCGGCACGGGCATTGCGATCACAAGCAACCCGATCAGATCCGCCTCGATCAGATCAGTCGCGATCAAACCCGTTTGGGCCCACGCCCTAAAAATCGAGTAAAACATCCTCCACCTGGCGCCCTATTGTGCAACTTTCATGGAGAGGGAGGGTAAGGGGAAGGGGGTGTTCCGCAAGATTTTAGGGGGGTGGTCTGCGGAACCGAAAGTAGAACTTAGATTCATTGGATGGCCCAGATTGAGCACTTAACGCGTCCGGGGAAGGGCCAAACGATGCCCTTAACTGGCACGGGTGCCAGTCGAATCAAACCCTTAAAATGGTCGAGCTGCGCCGAACATAATCCGGAATGTTCAGGGCATTAAGGCAGTGCCCTAGATATCAGACTTAAAGTCTGATTCAGAGTCCGTTTAGACTTTTTTTTTGTACCTAGTCTGAAGTCCAAGAATTTTTTTATGTACCTCGTCTGATTTTTCAGAGGTTTTGTTTATGAGCTGTTTGAAATTTCAGCCTAATTTTTGAAGTGTAGGCTGAGCCTCAGACTTGTATCGGGGGTACGCTCTGCGCGCTTATCGAAGCGAAGTTTCCCGGTGTTAAAGTTTAGAAGAAAGAAGAGGATTGCACTAGCAAGAATGAGGATACAAATAGCAAACCCTAGAAGGGTTGTACTCGCTATAGAGCACCCCACTACAGGCTAGAGCATAAGATAACATTCTGACACACCCCCATAGCCAAAGTGGGGTGTAATCAGCAGAGTAAGCAAAGGAGTACAAGCTCAGGGTGGATCACAATGTCACCACACATTCTGAGCACAAGTTCAAGAAGCAATAGTTTAAGTTCACAATTATGAGCAAAGCTAGTGGTAGTCACAACGGGCAAGTGAGGAGGAGGAGAGAGAGTGAGAGGAGAGGAGATAGGAGGCGACGGCTGAAGCTGCAGACACACAGGCAACAGGAGGCAGACTGGCACAGCGGCTACCGGACGAAGTCCCCGGAATACAGGAGTAACAGGCCCCGCGGCTAAAGTAGCGGCAGACGAGCAACGGACCCACGGGCGGCTGGCACAGCTGGCTACGACTGGGCTACCGGACGAAGTCCCCGGAATACAGGTGCTGCTGGCGACACGACGGCAACCTCCATTCAGCTTCCCCAAACTATCCCACTCCCCCCTGGCACATACCCGCTGCTACACCGCTAGCTCCACTCCCCCTTCACCCCCCCTTAGTACCACTCCACCGGCTCCAACACGTCCACCCCCCCTCAGCGGCAGCTGCAGCACAGGGAGACGGAGGAGGAGGAGGAGCAGGGAACAGTACACAGTGGGTGCACCCCCATACCCCGCACCCCCAAACCCTAATACAGGAGAATGGGGAGTAGGAGGGGTGGGGCACGAGTAGAAGCGCTGGGGGACAGTAGGGAGGGCAGGGGCAGCAAGGAGCGGGCCCACCACGGGCCTGGTAGGGTCGCCCGAACCGCGCGTAGGCGGCCTGAGCCGCGCGCGGGCCTGGCGCCGCCCGTACGGGCCGCGCGCGGGCCTGGCGCAGCCCGTACGGGTGGCGCGCGGGCCTGGCGCAGCCCGTACGGGTCGCGCGCGGGCCTGGCGCAGCCCGTACGGGTCGCGCGCTGGCCTGGCGCAGCCCGTACGGGTCGCGCGCTGCCTGTACGGGCCGCGCGCAGGCCACGACGGGCGACGGGGGGCGACGAACGGGTCCCCGTCGCCCGTCGCGGCGCCTCCCGAGGGCGACGCGACGGTTGACGGGGCCGAAGCCCGCCGCGCGCCTCGGGGCGCACGGCGGGCAGAGAACCGCCGCGCGCATCGGGGCGCACGGCGGGCAGAAAACCGCCGCGCGCCTCGGGGCGCACGGCGGGAAGAAAACCGCCGCGCGCCTCGGGGCGCACGGCGGGAAGAAAACTGCCACACGCCACGGGGCGTGCGGCACCGAGTGTAGTGGTAGGAGTTGCAGCGGAAGCTAGGAGGTGGTAAGCCCACCCACAGGATCGATCCAAGGGGATCGACCTGCTCTGATAGCATGTTAAAGTTTAGAAGAAAGAAGAGGATTGCACTAGCAAGAATGAGGATACAAATAGCAAACCCTAGAAGGGTTGTACTCGCTATAGAGCACCCCACTACAGGCTAGAGCATAAGATAACATTCTGACACCTGGAAGTTTCCTTTCAATATGCCCACTTCCGAGATGGCAGTGGAGTGCCAGGGCGTGAGCAACACACACTTCCACAGCTGGGACATCCTAATACACTCTTTTGTCGAGAAGATCTTCCAGTTACGATGAGGAAATGTTGGCGTGATTACAGGATTTTTAAGACAAAATCTCGTCACATGTAAGTTATCGCTAATGTATTGTAAAGAATAGGAGACTTTGATGCTGATTCGCTATCGAAACATCTGCAGCACGCACTCCTGTGAAATTGTGAAGGTCCTGACTCGTAGTGAAAG